CTGCACTGTGAAGCACATTTCTAACATCCTCTTACATTAGCAATAAAATAGAGCTCATAAGGACAGGAAGTCATTTTGGCTTCCATTACTTACACATTGATGACCTATTCACTCCTTGTCCTTACAAACTATATTTCAGTACAGTCACAATCACGACTCACACCCAAACTATGTGGTACCTCTCAAGTATCACAATTCTCAACACGTATCAGCTAAGATTGTAAGAAATAGCAGTTTTGTTTTACGGATGAGTAAGCAAAGGCAGAGGTTAGTAGAGGAGAGGACTAACAATGGGTATTTGTGGTTCCAGGTGTATCCTGTAAGTGATCCATTACATAGCCCCTCAGTGTCTTAAGTAATGTAACTCAGGATTTGCCTTTTGCATCCTTTTAACAGTTGCTGACTCTAAGCTTCAGAAATACCCTTTCTTTTCTTCAAAATAAGTCTTCAAGAGAATCTTGATCTTTACTATCAGTATTCTTGTATTCTGCCACTTGCTATATAGATTTATAATGAACCTGTTCTTGGAAAATTGTCAGCTTTCTCATGTCCTCCAGAATGATCTGGCACTGCAGGGGTGGCACCTTTGTCAGTAGAAAGTAGATAAACCTTCAAATGTGATGATAATGTCTCACCTAGCAAGACTGAAACTTTGCATCTCTTCTAAACGTAATTCATTGTTCTCTGCTTTCCTGGGCCGTGAGCAGTGAGACCGTTTGGCAGCTATTTGCTGTAGTAGTAAATTTGGAAATAATTCAACAAGCTTCTAGTTGGAAGCTAAGGCTTCTCAACTACCTGAGGCTTCTGCAGTCCTCTGGTGCTACAAATCAACATGACCTGGCAATGCCATGACACCAGCGTGCCAGGAAGCAGGGGTGCTCCACACTCTGTTGTGTGGGAAGATACATCATCCTCTGTAGATGCCTCTCTCCTTCAGTTGCAAACTAATTGTTTGGGGAATTGAGGGAGCCATAAATAAGAGAGATTAAATTCTGCTGTTGAGAGAGAAATTTGGCTTTAAAAAATCAGGAGTTCAAGAACGATCATGCATGTGTGCAAGATGGCTGTCTAATTCTGGAATTAATAATTATACTTTGGAGCTAATTTGAAGCCTGTGATTGCTTGTAAGCCCTGATCTAAGCTGCTGCAGTTGTTCTTTTGTGGTGGTTTCATTTTGGGCTGATAGGTGTTCCCATTATAACGGCCATCATATAATGTTGTTTCGACCATAACTGCTGTTCTTGATAATTTCTTGAAATTATTTTTGAACAGGTCTTTCTCTTGACATGTGTGCTCCTCAATTACCAAAGCATGGAGGGTATAAACACCTAGTGCATTTACAAGCGATTTAATGATTTTCTTAGTGTAAAATACTTACGTACTCTGCAAGCATGAGGAATTGGTGTTTCCTTGAGATGAATTTCCTTGTCAAATTCTTCATAATGATACTTATTCTGTGCTTCCGTCTTTTCTTTTTTTGTGTCCCCACTGTTTCACCAGGAGCACTGCATGACTGAGAATGGAAAGTGTTTTGAGGAGTCAGGATTCTTAGATAAATGACATCAGAATTAGTTTGGCCATTCCCTTTGAAGAAACAAAACACTATTAAATAGAAATTAAATCAATTTCTTGTACCTCAGCATGTACCTGAGAGCACAGGTGCTTGTATCCTTCAATGGTAAGAATTGTATATATGTGAGTGAGTACAGAAACAATTTCCTGTCCATTCTGTTTCTCAGCATGTAGCACTGACAGTCACCACCTGATTCCCAGGTTTGGAAATGTTTCTCAAGTTTACTTACTTAAGGGTGAAATTATGTAGTATGTATCTGGAATATTGATTATTGTACAAATTATTTTTTAAGTCCATGGCATTTTTTAGTCTCTTTGTAGATTTTTCACAAGGAGGAAAGCATTTCTACCTTCACACGGTGAAGGTTCAATCTTTGCTGGGCTGGCTACGTTATTTTTCAGTCTATCTGGGGGCCATTTATAGTACATATAGTGTTGTTCTGCATGTAGATGTTTCTTCATTGAGACACCTCATGAGATTGGTAGTGATAAAAAGCATTTGTCATCCAGTATATGTTCAGTGACCCATGTGAAATGAGTTTATATTTTGGGTAAAGCTTTTCAAAGCTGTGCTGCTAGAAAACGAATGTTTTCTCACTGTTTGCATTTATAGAAGCAGAAAAGATATTAAGATGTGGTTCAGCTAAAATTCTGAGTGCATCAAAGATTTGGAGCTGCAAATGTTACAGAAGTACTTTATTGCTAGAGTTTCGGTAAACTTAGTAGAAGATACTTGTGCGTTTCATGGTTCAGAATTTCACTTACCCATGCACTGGGCTCTTTATCCCAGAATTCAGTTCAGGGTGATCAAAGCCTTTGTAATTTCTTAGATAAAGTTGGTTTCAATCGCAGGTTTACAAGAAAACCCTTACACCAGTTTCAGGCTTTGTTACTACATTTTTTACAGGCTTTTGCTTATAGCCTCCATGCTTGGGTGCTTGATTGCTCCTGGAGTGGATATTGACTTTCTGCTGAGACAGATGTGGCAAGCTGATGTGTTTTGTTTAACATTAGTAACCTGCTCAGGCAGCCTGAGGTTCACATCCACCTTGGGAGGGGAAGGAAAGAACAGCAAAGCAAGATGCAAGGAAAAATATCCAGGAAAAAAAAGCGTTTGTAAAAACCAGTTCTTTTTCAATAAATTCAAATCTGTCACTGAATAATAGATAGATTTTGAAAAGTTTCTAAATAACTCCTTGCACTGAGGTCAAGGAAGAAAATAATCCCATTCACAGCTGAAGACCAATCGATAAGAAATCCAGATAGGTCGGTACTTTTTATAGTGGTTTTGTTTGGTGGCATTTGATGATGGTAAGATTCAGACCAGCTCAGTTTAGAAGCCTGTTTTCTGTATAGATACGTGAGACTTGCTTTCCATAGGCCATTCGTATCAAAGATAAATGCCTAAAGTTATATGGTTTTCTAAGTTGCACAAAGACAATGTTTTGGTTTGCTTTGCATGGCAACATACTCTGGAAAACCTGCTCAGAGTTTATTAATCCTGCTTTGAGGCCTGGCTTGCCTTTGCCAAACTATTTTCTGTTGCTGTTAGAGAAGTAATCTGCTGGTAAAGCTATTATGGTCCTGCTACCTTAGGGCTCACCATCTCACCAGCCTTCAGAGGTCTTTCACTGCCATGTGGAAAGATGCTGTCTTTGTCACTTACAGAACAGGCTTCATTTGGAAAAGTATTGTATTCTTTGCAAAGTACTATGTTATTTCTTGATGCCTCAGACTGTTTGTTTCTATGTTTTGCTTTGTTGTTTTGGGGTGTTGGGTTGTGGGTTTTTTTTTGGGGGGGGGGGGGGGAGGTGTTGTTTTTGGTTTTGTTTTTTCCATGCAGTAATTGGAAACTATTTGGAAGAAAAGAACATCTTCATTTTTCCTTTATCCCATTTGTAGGATACCCACCAAACTGGTATCTGTCATGCCTGGAGGTCCTTACTGTGTTAAAAACTCAGAGTAACTTGCAAATCTTTGAAAAAGAGTAGCTCAGTTTTCATGTCTTCCTCCTCCAACTCTCCCAGCTTTAATATCAGGTTATTAAAATTCAGTCATAGTAGTACTAAGTATGGTTCATTCCCTAAGCATTTAGATGAAGTGTTTTGAGCCTGCAGACCAAGTTAGATTAAATAATACTGCCATGTGTCAGTAATTTTTTGTCTTCCAGGATTGTATCCACAAAGATACTAGATTAGAAAATCAAGGCAGTCGCTAGGGTTTCTGGCATATCAATTTGGAGGTATTTTAACTCTGAACGATGTCAAAAAAATGAGCCTGAAATGATTCTCAGAGTTCCATTCTCATCAAATTAATTCCATTTGAGAAGCTGCATCTGTAGAGTTTCATTAGTGTTACTTCCAAACTCAGTTAACACCCCCCTTTCTGGTTCCTGACTGATGGAGTTATTGAATTCCTCACTGGATGAGGTTATCTGGAGCCCTGAGGATAAAATTCTGAGAGAGTTTATTACTGTGATAGAATTTGTATGGATTACTTACCATTGCAAGACTATTTCTTTGTTATTTATATATACAGTTATGACACCTATTATAAATGTACAAATAAGAACAGAATAATACAGGTCTCTTATGAAGGGATTTCAGTAGTCACTCTGCTAAAGCTGTGTCTTGAAGTAGTTCTGTTTCATTTAGCGACCTGACTAACGCGATGTTCCATATGCTGTTTGGCATTTTCACAGTCCTGAAGAAGGTGACTCTGAGACTTAGATGCAGTCTTTTTTGCATAAACTTTCTGCCTTTCCATCACCTTCATTGCATGATTTCTTCTCTTTTATGATTTTTGCTATAATACTAACATGTAGCAGGTAGATCAACTTGTGTAGAGAGCCTTAATTGCATATTAAGCTGCCTTCTTTGCTGAGCTGAGGGAACTCAATATAAGGCAAATTTGAATTAAAGTAGTTCTGGCCATGCACAGAATTCATTAGCTGTTTAAATTTTTTGTATTGTTAGATAAACTGATGTGGTTTTGAATGCTGATAAGGCTGTAGGCATAAATAATGGGAGGAAGAAAGAATGGTTTAACCTGTTCTCTGTCTTCTAAATGTGTCTGATTTCAGAGAGTTTGGATTAATATCTGTAAAGAGAAATGAGGATTTACCATCAATATACAAAACCAGAATGTTCTTTGCTCGGAAGAGACTGGTTAGGCACTGCTCTTAAGCTGTATCTAGTCTGGCCATAAAACTGACACCAGCGTGCTCCCTGTAACTGGGAACCTGCTGGAAGCTATATCCTGCTGCCTGTTAGAAAAACACAGCAGTCTTTCGGCATTAAAATAATCACAGCACTTCCAATAGCCAAACTCCTCTCCTACGTCACCTGAGTTACATTATATAATACTGATGTCTGTTTGGAAGCAGTAGAACAGTTTAATAACTCTAAGCTATATTTTGGTTTTTTTAGGTAGACACATGGGCACCATCTACTACGCTGCACCACCTCCTTATTGATCTGTGTTGCACTGCGTGAAATAGGCCAAGCTGTCATCAAAGGCACCTGGCCTGACTCCAGCAAGATGATGAATTGGTAGGTTAAATTTAATTGATGTGGTGTATTATTCTGAATTACTAAACTTGGCTGTATGTTACAGTGGAAGTGTACCTTTTATCTTTGTTTTCTGGGACTGAGGCTATAAAACTCTAGGCTACATCCTTTACTGGGGCTTACAGTACATTCCTGATACTATAGTGCTCTAATATCTTGCTGTATGTCACTGTCAGCTACAAGACTAATGCAAGAATTCATCTTGGCTGCATTGCCCTTAACATCCTTTGCACAAGGCAAAAATATTTACCAGACTGGAGATAGAAAGAGCAGTGGCTGAGTAATGTATGTGAAAAATGATCTATGAATGCAGACCTCGATTGACTGAAAATGAAATACTGTGATAAAAATCTCATTTTTGAAATATGTGATTGTGCCAAGGAGTGCATCGCCTGCTCTAGGGTTTTATAAAAGTTATACAGTTTAAGCTTTATTTTTTATATATTAACTGGAACATCAGGAAAAGTGTACTTATGTGTTTGAAAAAACAGTTATTGTAAGACTATTGCCAAATTACCCAGCTAGATTTCACTGTCTGCACTTCACAGCACTGTGTTTCCTATGTTGTTCTGGATTAGAAAAGCTTTTAAACAAGGGAGGGAAGTTGTCAAGAGATGGCAGATTTGAGGAAATTGGGAAGAAAAAAAAAAGGAAAACATTTGATTTGAGTTACTTCAAGCTCATATTGCTTGTAGTAAAAGATCTGCTTCTGAGACACTTGCACTTTAAGCTGGCAGTAAAACAGCTCATGGTAGTGAGAAATTGCTGTTCAGCTTTTGGATGTTCCTATTGTTATGCTGAAGGATGGGTACAGTTCAGGAAGCATCACACCAGATGTACCGATACTGATATCCATCCCAGCTCGCTTCCTTTGGACTAAGTGTAGGAAGGGCCAAATGTGCCTTTTCTTAAGATCCATCGAATTATCTAAAGACTAGAATGTGTGTAAACAGAGACCTGGTGTCAGTTTGATTTTCATCTGTCATTTGGACAGGTAGGGAAGCACCTTGAAGCAGCAGGAGAGCAGCATGAAAACAGGAGAAAACACAAAGCACGAGACAGGCTGGAGGACTTGCGCTGTGGCCTTTGAGGCGTGTGCAGAGCAGGCTGCTGCACCAGTGTGCAGGGAAGGTAAGATAAAGCTCTGCTCAAGGACAAGGGCTCCAGTGTGCATTTGACTGTTGTGATGTTCAGCATGGTGTCTCAGAAGGCTTAAATATGCAACAGCTTTTCTTATGCCTGTGCTCTCCTACCTGCTGTGCAGGCTCAGGGCACCACACATGACTCCAGCTGGGGACTTTCACTCTCTTAGATTTTTCTGATAGTCAGGTTTTGCTCAACAAGGTGTTATTTGACTCACATACAACCCATGGATCTACCCTGGAGCTACTAAGGGTTTGCAAGAGTTAGCAGTAAAGTGTGCAGCAAAGCGAGTTTGATGGGAGCTCAGGGCTGTCAAGGTTTAGGCCAGTGCTATGTGGCGTAAAGACAGCTTTGTGATTGTACACAACCATTTTGGTTGAACCTCTGGGAAGAATGCTTTGAATCCTAGCATGGTGTGGTAAGTTTTGGAAGGCTTGCAAATTCTAGTTGTGGGATGTGTGAGGGGACAAAAGCTTTGATCGCTGTGGGTGGTGTCTGGGGACCCTTGGTCCTTAAAAACAGTGTGTGTGAGAAGGCGAGTGGGCCTCATGCACTACTGGTTTAAAGAAGTTCAGACCCCTGGGATTTATTAATTTCTGTCAGATGTTTAGTGTTGCCTGAAGTATAATTATGGAAAAAATCCTCATCTATAAAGAGACCTCTTCCAAAGCACTGGACCCCTTTAGACCCAGGCTGCTGCAGTATAACCTGCCCCAGCCAGAGCAGCATCTGGGAGAAGGCAGTTCTTGCTCCTGAGAAAGGGGAGATTCGTTGTGAGTGACCTTTCAGCCCTTCGGATATTTCATAAATGTGCTCTCCTGAGGTGCTGTTATTTAACTACAGGCATCAGAACTTGTTCTCCTGCTAGCTCTGCAGCTCTTGTTCATTGACAGGTTAGAGCAATCGACACAATTCCTGCCGGGCTGCGGCTTTGGAAAGGTCATGTACGCCCCGGTGAAGCCTGTCGCTTGCCTTTTAAGAACAGTAGGAATTAGATCTTACCAGTAGCTGTGACCAACAAAGCTACAGGAGGTGTTTTGCAGCTTAATATTCTGTCACAGATTAGAGCTGCTGGGAAAACTTTTGAAGTAAAACAAGAAAGGAACAAAACAGTAAATAAAAAGCTCTCTAAGGCTGAAGTCTTTTAACAGTCCAGTCAGTACCGACTTTCTGGATAATGTGGTGTGGATTGCTATGGAGCTTTTCTGAAGGGAACATGTGCAGACTGCACTGAAACTCATCGAGTTACCAAGCCAACTTGTACTAATTCTGCAAGGAAATGATTTTATCTTTGTGGATCTCCTCAGTGGATGAGAAGAAACATTCTGTATTATGTGTTTGGGTGCTTAGTACAAATGTGGATTTGCACCAGAGTTCAGGGGTCACCTGGGGTGCTGTGTTGCCTACACTGCTGGAGCTGGGAGCACTGTGTGGTTGCACCAGCTGCCTGTGAAACACTTGTGGAAATGATGGCTTGCTCACAGCAGGGAGCTGGCTGTTGTTGAGAGGGGAGGGAGAAAGGGTGAGAACGGTAAAGAGTTATGAAATGTGACATTTTGAGATCACATATGTGCTGTGGTTGGCTGGACCAAGGATCTAGTATCAACTAAACAAGTGCATCATTCTCTTAGGAAGCAGGGTGTGTTGTATGTATGAACTCAAGAGTTTCACCATGTAAGGTTTTGTGACAAGATACAGTCTCTGTGGTAGGGAATTAAAAGTTCATTAGCAGCCCTGATAGTGCACTGAGTAGGATATTTCTATTCTTTGCATGATATCCAAGCATCTGCTTTGCAGTCAGGAAGTGACTTTTCAGTGTGGCAATGGGAGTGGGCACCTCTAACATTGCTTGGAGTAGAAACAGTACCAGAGATTAGTTTAAAATTCATCAGCTGTACACATTGTGTAAGCCACAGTCACCACATGCTTGAGGGTGGTTAAAAATCTGCAGAAGCAGTGCTAAACGTGTTCGTTTTGTATCTGTCAGAAATAGGTATGTGCTTAAAACCAGATTCTGTTCCTTAGCTGAAAAAGGTACCTTGAAAGGAGGTAAAGCTAAACTAAATGACACTTGCATGTGCATTCTCACTGCATGCTGAAAAGTTGTGGTTGTATGTAAAGTAATTAGACACATATCTAAACAATGGTTAGCTTATATTGATTTCCTTGATTGGATTTGTCTAAGGTATATTATTAAAAACAGGACATTTTGCCTGCCTTGAAAATCATGTTTTAAAGCTACTTCTTATTTCTGGAGAACCTGGTCCATAGTTTCTAACAGTGTGCTTGAGCGTTGCTGAATCTAGGTCCAAGTATAAGCCATTTCTGAAACTGATGCTTAACATTTTTAAAATCCTGCTGAAATATATAAAAAAAAACCTCTATATAGACTGAAGCGTTCAGAACTGGAGGCAGATTCAGCCATCCTGTCTTCATTTGTAAAATCAGCATTGGATTTCATACAGAGTACGATGCATATTTACAGTAGTGCTTTGAGCGGTTCTGACATGTGAACAGATATATGTAGAATGAAGAGAGAAAAGGGGTTCTCCTGTCTGCTCTGGGAGTCAACTTTAGCTTGATTTATTTGTTTGTAGCCCCAAAGCCAGGGTGAGATGAGATGAGGTGCTGCTGCCATGATTATGCACATTAAACACGATGGAAGACAACAGAGAAGGTTGATAGCAATGGTGTCTATTGCCAGCCATAAAGGCCTACACAGTGTTCTTGCCTTATATCTTACTGCCTAAGCTAAAATGCACTTGATTTCTCATGGTCATTTCTATCTTAATAAAACTGTGCTGCTTTTAAAACCATAGACAGGGTGGATTGGCAGCTTGGTACTTACAGTAATAACCCGCTGCTAGATTCCTCCCCTAGAGCAGTTAAAACAGTGTTCTGGAGTGGCCGCATCCAGAGCTCAGCAGCATCTGCAGAGCCCTGCCAGGCTCTCTCCTCACTGCCGTAGCAACGCCGAGCCAGAAGCAGGAGCTGTAAACTTTAAAATATGACTTTTCAGCCAGAGAGCCTTCTCCTGCAGTACTGAAACCTTTCCCTGCATTTCAAGTCAGTGGGAGATTGTTTCCCCAGTCATAAGTCTGACTCTAAATGCTGTAGCATCCAAAATTAGGCCGTATATCATCCTAATAGTAGCTTTCAAAGATTTTTTTACAGGGTCAATTCAGACCATAGAAAGCAGTAAGGTTTTTGAGCCTAGTCACTAAGAATAGGAGCATCATCACAGGATGAAAGGGACTTGGGAGACATGAAACAACAGCGCAAGGTGGTGGGAAGAACATAGAATCATAGAATAGTTAGGGCTGGAAAGGACCTTAAGATCATCAAGTTCCAACCCCCCTGCCATGGGGCAGGGGCACCTCACACTAAACCATATCACCCAAGGCCTCGTCCAACCCGGTCTTGAACACTGCCAGGGATGGAGCATTCACAACCTTCCTGGGCAACTCCCTGAGGGACACCACTCATTACTGGTCTCCAGCTGGACACTGAGCCATTGACCGTAACAGTCTGTGTGCGGCCATCCAGCCAGTTCTTTATCCACCGAGTGGTCCATCCATCAAATTGATGTCTCTCCAATTTAGAGACAAGGATGTCGTGTGGGAGAGTGTTGAACACTTTACACAAGTCCAGGTAGATGACATCAACTGCTCTACCCCTGTCCATCAGTTCCATAGCCCCATCATAGAAGGCCACCAAATTGGTCAGGCAGGATTTCCCCTTAGTGAAGCCATGCTGGCTGTCACCAAGCACCTTGCTGTTTTTCATGTGCCTTAGCATGCCTTCCAGGATTTTGCCAGACACAGAGCTGAGACTGACTGGTCTGTAATTCCCCAGGTCATCCATTTTCCCTTCTTGAAAATGGGGGTTATAGTTCCCTTTTTCCAGTTGTCGGGAACTTCACCTGACTGCCATGATTTCTCAAATATGATGGCCAGCGACTTAGCAACTTCATTTGCCAGCTCCTTCAGGACCCGCGGATGGATTTCATCAGGACCCATGGACTTGTGCACGTTCAGAATTTTAAGATGGTCTCGAACCAGTTCCTCTCCTACAGTGAGAGGGACACAGATGTTGACTGTGTTTCATGTTTGGTTTGCATAATAGTAGTAGGCATTACGGTACCTTCCTTAATCCTTTATCAGAAATACATTTACTATCCCTTTATTGCCTTTCTTGAGGGAAACCACAGCATGGTTTGAGTTGGAAAGGGACTTTAACCATGTAGTCCAACCCCAACTGCCATGGCGGGGGCTGTTAGGAGAGAAAGGTCTATAAATGTAAGAGGCGCCTTTCTGTCCAGCAGCCTTGCTGGTTGTTGTGTGTGCTAATTTTTAGTAACAAAAAAATCGGATTCCTCAACATGGCTAAACATACTGTTCTTGAGTATAACGTTTAAGTGCTGCTGACTTTAGACCTTATGTGTGGGTGGTAGAGCTTGTGCAGGTGAAAGCAAGGTACATGGGTTCTGCCCTTCCACATGTGTTGAGGTGTCCAATAATCATTGGTAATAGCTGTGTTAATTTGCAGAAGATAGTGGAGTACTCTGGTAGGAGTGAAGAGCTAATTTGACCTGAATTTGCTCTTCCTGATGAGGTATGAGCAGTCTGGAAGATAGTGGGTATTTTGCTCACCTATAAGGTAGTTTTTGGGGAGAGAGGAACCTCCTACAACCTAAAAAGAGTCCTGCTGTTGAAGCGCTAGCATCAGTGAACCTCTAAATGTTGTAAACTTCAGGTTCATTAATTTTGGCTTAATTCTCGCTTATATCTGTCTGGCTTTTGTTACCAATTGTTTGGGCATCCCAGTGTGCTTGCACCAGTTGTTTGAGTGTACCATGTGCTCATCTCTGCACTGAACAGCTGTTGATATTTTCTCCCTGCAGAGGTGCACCATAGTCCTTTAACCTTCTGGTTTTCCTTGTGATGCTCCTTAATCTTCCAGTGTAATGCAGCACCATGTGT